AGGAAGTTCAATCACACCACTCTCTCCCAGGAGGACACGAAGACAATTCATGCGATGATTCACAACGCCAATCTCAATTGGTGTAAATTTGTGATGACTCACATGTTCACGGCCACCTCCGACAATCGGCCGCTCCCCTACGCCCTCCTTGTCATGGCGATTCTTGAAGAATATAACATCAAAACCGATGTTGGGCCAAAGATAAAGGGGACAAAGCATTGGGAGATTGATGAATCCTCTTTCCACTCGGGCACCGACGAGACTCCGTTTCGACAGCCTCGTCCACGCCGCCAACCGAGAGCCATTGCCTCAGCCGCCGCCACTTCGACCAATCCTTCTCTCGCCGAGCAAATGGCAGCCTTGACCGCCACTCTCTCTCGGATTGACACGAACGTCTCTAAAACGGCACACAACGTCAATACCTTGAGTCGTGAACTTCACGGGTATTTTGACTTTGTCAATTACCCGTACGCTCAAATGGTCCCTTACGTTCCTCCACCGAATTTTGGAGGTGAACAAAGTGGGACTCAAAACGTTGGTAGAGATGACGAGGTGGATGATGAGGAAGAGGAAGAAGAAGAAGAAGATGATGATGATGATGATAATGATGATGGCGATGGTGATGAAGATGAAGAAGAAGAAGAAGACATTGACGAAGAACAACTTCTCAATGATCTTTCCCCGGATTTCTAGAGCTCTAACTCTACTTTCTTCTCTTCCTTATTTTATCATCTTTTAATACGCTTTCGTTATGTGCTCCGTTATTTCCCTTAATTAATTAATAAAAATCTTTATGATTTTTGTTGTTAACAATCTTTTTGTTAATGTCAAAAGGGGGAAGATAAAGGCTATGCATATATTAAGGGGGAATTTTTTAAAAAGATCAAAATCCTATGCATATCCCCGTCTTGTTTGCCATTATCAAAAAGGGGGAAATTGTTGGAACACGCTTTCTACGATAAACTAAAGTCGTGTTCATTTCTGACAGGTTTTGATAATTGCCAAACCGCCGTGGATATAAAGAGTTCCGTTGAATAACTCAAGGCGTGAAGAATGGCTTGGAACAAGACCTAAAAGACTCAAGGACAAGATCAGGAATTGAAGACTTAGTCGAGTCGGTCTTTTGTGATCAAAACCGACAATATATTCAAGTCTCGGTTCTCAAAAAGTCAAAACAATTTTTACAAACCATAAAATATTTTTTGTGCATCAAAACAAACATTTTTGATGATTTCTTTTATTTTTAAAATCCCTAGTCCTTGCTCAGAACCAAAACCACCTAAGTCGGTGTTCGGCTTTAGACGCTCGGCTTTCGGCGTTCGGTTTTTGGCGCCCGAACCAACTCTGTGGTTTTCAATAGTTTTAAACCCTGTTTTTACCTCTGAGCATTTTTAAAATGTTCCCAAATAATTATTTTATAAAAACCACTTTTGTATCTTGGTCAATCGGTCTAACACGTGAAAAACGGTCTAAACCGTACGTACGTATTATACGACCTTGGAGACTTGGTTTTTGCCAAACAAGTCTTGTTTTCACTATTTAATACCATATACAATATTTTCCAAACCTGGTTTTTACTTTTGGGAACACTTCGTTTTTGGACCTCGGTTTTTCAAAACGGGTTTCAGCTGGCTAGACTTTAGCTGGGTGATAATCGATTATCACCTTAGTGACAATCGACTATCAGCCCCTGCAGCTTTGAACTTCCAAAGTTCTGAAGCACGCAATAATCGATTATCAGCTTTGCAATAATCGATTATCAGTCTTTGCAGCCAAAACCCAGA